GCTTCTTGCTCCTAGTAGCGATGCCAGGAGCCCCTAGTAGCTTCTTGTTCTATATTGCCCACTTTGTTCCAGTTTGTAAAATCATCGGATTCGGTGCGATGGCCACACCTTGAGCGTCATCGGTGGCCGTGGCTGTCACCCAGTGCTTGCAGTTTAAGGATTCAAACCCTCGCGCAGTCACTCCCAGGCCATGAACTGTTTTATTTATTTTATTCTTCTGCCATTGTGCCTCCACGGCCGGTGTGAGACCAGGAATCGCACTGGTTGCGGACAGTCTAGGAGTCTAGGCATTTTGTTCGAGAGGCAGCCCAAAATCAAAGAGCTGTTTCTCAACAAAGCGACGGTTTCATGCTCCAAAGCGAGGGTTTCACGTTCTGCGCATCCTTCCTCACATCGTCCCCGCCTTCCTTCCAAGCGGTTCTAGTGATTGAGTCAATTTAGAAGGTGGTTGATGCGTTCAGACCTTCATGTGTGACATTCTATATCCACATATATTTCACATTTCATCTTCCGTACGGAGAAGTACACATTCAGGTCGCATCGCGACACAAGCCGCCCGCACCACTTGTTTTGAGAGACGGCGTGGGTAGTTTGCCATTTGTTGTTCTTTTTGTATTGTATCGTGCGTACCGTGTGTATTATTCTATTTTTCCACCCGCTTGAAACTGCACATTTTATATAAGGGGGCCCAACTTATTGTCAACCATGCCTGCAAATTTGCCAGTTGTTATTTTGCATCCATTGCATTGTACTTGTATCGCATTGTGGTATATGCTATGGGGCTAAACGTACCTGCCCAATGCAACCCCGACTGTGGTAAACACCATAACATTTATGGGGGCCAACTTATATCCAACAATGCCTGCAGCTTGTCATTTCCTAAACACATGTCTTTTTCACAGTGCATCAGTGCATTGTATGTGCGGTTCATCTCTAGGTCTTTTGCCGATCATGCATATTGTATAGTTTTGTGTGTATCATCTATGCCCTACTATTTCCTCCTTCTTTCTCTTCCTCATGACCACCCCATGATGTACTTGCATCATTTCCATCACCAGATCCATGAAAGGCAAACACACGACTCCTTTCCCCACTGTGTCATTTCAAATTCCCTGTGCAAGCGTACCACTTCACGCCCTATACCCTGCACTCCGGAATCATAAAATCACAGCGCTTCCACCACCGCATCATAAAGTATATCACTTGCTCTGTTGAGTTCCTTTTGCACGCTACTAGGACCAAGGACGCTACTAGAGGCGCTCCTGGCCATACTACTAGGAGCAAGGACGCTACTAGTAACAAGGGCATCGCTATTAGCAGCAAGGGCGCTCCTAGGGGCGCTCCTGACGCTGCCAGTGTTGCAGGCCGATGCTGCGGTGTTTGGGGTAGACATTCTTGAAGTTGAACGTCGGCCTTCGGTGCTGCCCCGCTTTCTTTGATGCCACTGTGTCCCATGCTTTGATTTGAAAATCATTGAAAACTGTTCCAGTGGCCTGCAGCTTTTGGTTCAGGATTCATGACATGAAGTCGCATGTTGCCTAAACTTTTTGCAGATTGGTAAACAAGTTCAACAAACTCACTTAGGCCCCCATGCAATTTGTCGTTTGTAGCCCGCATCGCTGGAAATGATGCAGCATCAGGAGCTTTATTTCTTCAATTTGTTCCTGTCGGGCCGTTGTCGAGTGTCCCTGTAGCATAGTTTTCGTGTGTATGTTGACATTGTTGTTCTTGTTGGCGTCATTGTTGTGGAAATGAAAAAGCAACAAGGGCGGGTGTCGCATTGTAGACAACGACACTTTTGGGTAGAAAGAGAGGTGCTACTGCTAGCGTTCGTTTGAGGCGCCACCAGCAGGTAGTGTGACTAGTGACTAGTTCTTCTACCGCCGCGACGTACTCGAGTGGCGCAACGCGATTACGGTAGGCTAGTAGCAATGGCCTCCAAAAAGAACCTAGAAGCGATGGCCTCTAACCCAAGAGCGATGGTCTCCAGCCTGTGCTTTTGCTACTTCTGCTGGTGCTACGCTCGCTGGTGCTGCCACGCTACAACTTATTATCGCAACGCAATACTGCTGGACTACTACTAGAAGACTACTACTACTACTACCACTACTACTACTACTACTCCTCCTCCTCTACTTCTACTTCTACTTCTACTACTACTACTACTACGACCACCGCCACCACCACATTCTACCTTCTACCTTCTACCTTCTACCTTCTACCTCTACCACTGCGTCTACGACTACCACCAGTCTTAGCTAACGGGGAGTTTGTGAGCTGCAAGAATTTGCAAAAGTAAATTGTTCAGCTGTGGCTTTGGCTTTGTGTTGTTGTTGTTGCTGTCTCCTGTCAAGCTAAAGAAAAGATTTTGTGTGGGGGGGGGTCAGAGGAGGAGGCCCAGGAGGTGCCAGCGTACGTCCGGTTAAAGTTCTTTGGCGAAGGCGCGGCGGCGCGGCCTGCAATTCCGGAAACGCTTATTAGGTTGGAGACCATCGCTACTATGGTGGAGGCTTTCTTTGTTGGGAAAATCGATTCTGCTTACTTTGCGGTGTTAGCTTTTACGTTGGCTGTTCACATGACCCTTTGAGTCTTTTGAGCCCAGGACGAGCGTGTGCGAAAGCCCCTCCAATCAGGGGAACTTTCAAAGATGTTCAGATCAGGACAAAGACCATGGAGGCCGCTTGTTTTTAACTTGGCACATCACTAAAACATAACTTGGCACATCCCAGGAATTGTCAGAGGCGGTGGTGCAATGGCTAGGTTGCCCGGGTGCCTGGTGCCTGGCGACTGTGGCTAATTGGCCACTGACGCTGGACGCTTTGCGCAGCCCGACCTCCGCGCAGCCCGGAAACCAAGGGCAGCCAGCGCACTCATTTCCTTTTTTGAAAGCAATTAACCCATTAACCGAAGACCGAAGAACAATTTGTTCAGCGTAAAGAATTGGTTTTAGTTGCTGCCGTGTAAACTTGATCAGCGCGTACGAACGGTATCTATGCTGACTTAAACAATGGTACACGCACTTGTGCAGCTCAGCAACGCTGGAAGGCATAGTGAGGTTAAGCAAGCAAGTTGCATTGCGGGTATTTTTGTGCCAGAACACCAGAGAATTGCTTTGTTGGGAGGAATCCATGTGGTTCTTCCTGACTCAAGTGCTTCGGTAGCCTCACCAGAAGCAGCTGTGAGGACCACGCGCTTTCACTCTCACTCTCACTCTCACTCTCACTCACTCCCGGTTGAGCTCCTCTGGGCCTGCCCCCCTTCTGCCGGTGATGAGTTCTGTTGAGCGATGTCCGACCCACCTTCCTTTCTTGCAGAATACAATGCTACTTGCACTAGGTTGGAGGCCATCACAAGTAGGTTAGAGGCCATGGCTGTCCGCAGAATTTCTGATTTAGCTTTGTGACAGTTTGGTGTCACTCGAGAGTTTCGGTTGTGTATTATCACCATTTTGCTTCACATTTGTGTTCATCATCCGCTCTTCCGCTATGATTGCTCTCCTTCCACTATTTTGCTCCACTTTGCTACAAAAACACAAACTTAACATGTGGATATATTTGTTCCTTTAAGGCTTGTTTGTGTAGTCTCATCTTGCTGTGAAAACAAGAGAAAGCAGCGAAAACTACATGCAAGTTCAAGAAGAGCCGGTTTGATTCATGTCTAATTAAAATATACTTAAATTTAGATCAATTTTAATTCTAATAGCTTCTTGTTACTAGTAGTATGGCCAGGAGCCCCTAGTAGTGTCCTTGCTCCTAGTAGCGATGCCCTTTGTTCCTAGTAGCGTACAGGTTGATCAGATCAGAAATGGAGTGTGAGCTGAGCAGTCCATTTTGGCTCCATGTCCCCCTACGCTTTCGAGCGCCTCGGAACCGGTGATCAGGTGCCCATTGGTGGTGCATGTTTGGAATAGCCAGGACAACGTAAAACACTTGGGCGTTGCGATGGCAGCGATAGCCTCCCCCATCAATGTTTTCAGTTTGGATTCCTGCCAACCAGGAGAAACTTGCCAAAGACCTGACCACGCTTGGCGAAAAAGTTGCCGAGGTTGAAGAAGCTTGGCAGCTGGTAGTTCTTTGTTTAACAAAAACAATGGCAAGAATGTAAGAATGATGCTCTGGACATAAAGCAAGGCACGTTTTATCCCACAAGGCCTTTGTCGGACAATAGACTTCGCCAGATGTTCTAGCCATCGCTCTTAGGTTGGAGGCCATTGCTATCGACCCAAGACCCAGAAGGGAGTTTGTTTCGTGTAAGCTGGCCTCACCAATCTGGTCTCCCACACGGACCATGGATAACATGTCCAAGCCAAGGACGCACTCCGTCTGCGGAAATCAAAAGTAAAATGGCCTGGGTAGACCAAACCACACATGAACACAATATCACGAACACGATCTTTTTGGCTAAACTTCGCGTACATGAATACCGATGTGGATGTTTGGGTTCTTGGCTCAGCCATCAACTGCGTATTGGCAACGAAACAAAGGAGATTGGTGTCACAGCTTGAGAATGACATCATGACCAGCAGGTACATTAGTTTGGAGGCCATCCCTAATAGGTTGGAGGCCATTGCTATTAGGAATTCATTCTTACAATTGAATTCATAGCTATTAGTTTGCAGCACCGCACCGGACACTCCCAGATATCATAAGAATCGTCCAGAAAAATTAGGGAAAAAGCTCCGGTCAGGTCGAAACTGCAGGAACCGACCAGAAACTGCATAAACATCGATCACAACGTTTCCAAGCAATAGTAACAAGAATCTATTAGTAACAAGTGCATCGCTACTAGTAACAAGTGCCTTACTAGTAGTAACAAGAAGCTATTAGTAACAAGTGCATCGCTACTAGTAACAAAGTGCAACTGAACAAGGTTTAAGTTTCCACAAAAGATAGCTTGCTTGCAAGCACTTGTTAACATACTGGCTTTCATTGGCGTTCTGTCCAACTTGCGCCGGACATGCATCACGGCAAAGACTGTGTTTTT